AAAATACACCTAAAAGTGAATGGATTTTCTCAGCATTGTATGAGGTGAGGTCTCCTCACCAGGAGTGGAGAGGGGCTGAACACAGAAAAGATCATTGTTAGATTGTAGACACTTAACTGACATTGAGATCTTTCAAGCTGCTAAAATGTTTACTTTCTAGATTTCACCCATCTTCTAACTTTCAAATATTTGACTCCACTCTGGGTTTTTTTCAACAAGAATGCTTAGAAATCATTGTTTGTACTAATACTCCATTTCCTTTCCTCTACAGGTTCAGGCTCATCTTTGTAGAATAAGGATTTTTGTTTTGAGGAGCTATTTCTTTAGCATTTTGACATTTCATATTCTAAACTGTACTTTGTTTTCACTCATGGGCAGCACTGTCTTTTGTGAATCTAAATGATCTCTTGATCGCTTCCATAATGGCCCCTTTTTTTCTTAGACCTGTGGGCTCCTAAGTTTGGCCATCTTAGGTATTTTAAATTTGGAGTGTCCTTCAGTCAGTGACTTATGAATCCATAGTTCTAACCTTTCTATCTGGTTCTAGTATTTCAAGGTTATTTTAAAAAATTTCTTGTACTACAATATCTAGGTTTTTTTGTTTTATCATGGTTTCCAGTGAGCCCATGAACCTTAAATTCTCTCTTCTCAATCTGCTTTCAGGTTGGCTGGTTTTTGATAATATGATTGCTTACATGATCTTCTAATTTTGACTTTTTTTTTTAGCCTAATTTTTATATTGTTTCATTGATGGATAGTGAGTTCTATTACATTCCATTTCATTTTTTAAGATGCTCACTTTTTGAGTATAGTGTTCAAAGTACTATTTTAAGCTATTTAACTTACACGTTTTTCCTCAAGAGTTTTAATTCAATTACACTGGTTTACTTTCTGCCTCAACTCTTCTTTCATTTCTTCTATCTATTCTTGGAATCAGTGTGGTTGTTCCATTCCTTATTCAAAGTTTCTTTTTTTAATTATTTTCTTTTTTTCCAATTACACGTAAAAAATTTTTAACATTTGTTTTCTTAAATTTTGACTTCCAAATTCTCTTCCTGCATCCCTTCTCCCCTCACTGAGAAGGCAAACAATTTGATATACGTTATACATGTGCAGTCATGCAAAACACATTTCCATATTAGTCATGTTGTGAAAGAAAACACTGACCAAATAAACAAACAAAACCAAGAAAAATTAAGAAACTAAAAAAAAAAGTATGCTTTAATCTGTATTCAGATTCCATCAGTTCTTTCTCTGGAGGTGGATAGTATTTTTGTCCTAAGTACTGCAGAACAGTCTTGGATCATTACGTTTCTGAGAAATAGCTAGCTTAATCACTCACAGTTAATCATTACACAATACTACTTATACTCCACACAACATTCTCCTGGTTCTGCTCACTTCACTCTGCATCAGTTCACTTAACTTTTTCATATTTTTCTGAAATAATCCTGCTCATCATTTCTTACAGCACAATAGTATTTTATCACAAACATATACCACAATTTGTATAGCCATTCTCTAATTCAGACGTGTATAAGATACAGCCCATCAAAGGATTTCAGGCAGCCCATGAAAAATGTAGAGGATGTAAAAGAAAGTAAGGATATAATGAGTGCTTTGTCCATGTCCCGCTTAACTTGCCTTCCACTAGCACTTGCCACTACTGTGCTGGTCATGCAACGTGGTGGGTGGGGTGCCATGTCATACTTTTCTGCTTGTCATGTGACCCACAACAACCAACCATCATCAGTCTGTCTTTGGTCTGAGAGCAGTGATTTCATGATAAATAAAAATCTTAAGTAATAAGTACAATTAATGGATATTAATTAAAATTTCCCTTTTTAAAAAATATGGTTTATTTGCAAAACAGTTTAACCATTAATTATGCCTTTACTTGGAAAGTGAGCTGCTAAAAATCTATCTGCGGCCCAAAGAAGTTTAGCCTATTTTAATTTTGTCCCCTACTTACTGCCAAGTTGTGCAGGTCTGCTCTAATCGATGAGTATCTCCTCAATTTCTAATTCTCTGCCACCACAAAAAGAGCTACTATAAATATTTTTGTACATATAGGTCCTTTTCCTTTTTTTTTTTTTAAAGTCTCTTTGGGATATAGACCTTGTGGTGATATTGCTGGGTCAAAGGGTATTCACAGTTTTATAGCCCTTTTGGGCATAGTTCCAAATTGCTCTCCAGAATGGTTAGATCAGTTCACAACTCCACCAACAATGTTGGTGTCTTAATTTTTTTAAATCTCCTCCAGCATTTGTCATTTTCCTTTTCTGTTGCTAGCCAATCTGACAAGTTGTAAGATGGTACCTCAAAGTTGTTTTAATTTACCTTTTTCTAATCGATAGTGATTCAGAGCATTTTTTTCATATGACTATAGATAGTTCTTTGATTTCTTCTTCTGAAGACTGCCTGTTCACATCCTCTGGCCATTTATCAGTTGGGGAATGACTTGTATTCTTATAAATCTGACTCAGTTATCTATTTGAGAACTATCTGAGAAACCTGCTATAAAAAATTTTTCCCAGCTTTCTGCTTTCCTGCACCGCTTTTGTTTGTGTAAAACCTTTTTAATCTCATGCAATCAAAATTATCCACTTTACATCCCAAGTGGTCTCTATCTCTTATTATTCATAAATTTTTCCCTAAACCATAATCTGACAAGTAAACTATTGTATGCTCCCCTACTCTGCTTATGGTATCACCCTTCATGTATAAACCGTGTGCCCATTTCAAACTTATCTTACTATACAGTATAAGATATTGGTGTATATATATTTTCTGCTAAACTGCCTTCTAGTTTTCCCAGCAATTTTTGTCAAACAGTGAGTTCTTATCAAAAAAGCTTGGAGCTTTTGAGTTTATAAAACACTAAATTGCCATGGTCATTTACTACTGTGATTTGTGTACCTAATTCATTCCTCCAATCACCACTCCATTTCTTAACTAGTACCAGACTGTTTCGATGATTACCACTTTGTAATAAAGGTTGAGATCCTACGCCACCTTCCTTCACATTTTTTCACTGATTCCCTTGATATTCTTGACCTTTTGTTCTTTCAGATGAATTTCATTATTACTTTTTCCAGGTCTATAATATATTTTCTTGGTAGTTTAACTGTGTGGCATTGAATATTAATTTAAATAGAAATTAAATATGGCCCCTACAACCCACCAACATTTGTGGATGGAATGATTGTACTGTGGCTGTATGTCCTAGGACAGTGCATCAGAAAGCTCTTTCCTTGCCATATTTCTAAAGGGACTGAAGGTGCTGGGAATTAAGGTTTCCTAAATGATGACCTTAAGAAAAAGATTCTGTTCTTTTCATCACACAAACAATTGGGGCCAGGGGTTGGGGAGGAGAAAAGAAGGGAGGTTTAAAGGGAATCACTATTAACTGATTTAGATTCTTGGATTTTAGCAAGCACCTTTGTCATATTAGGATTACTTCACTGGTATAACTGGCAAAGGAATGTGAGCTAATTTCGTACTCAAATATATTGGGAGAGGGGGTGAGGCAATTGGGGTTAAATGACTTGCTTAGGGTCACACAGCTAGCAAGTTTCATGTGTCTGAGGCCACATTTGAACTCAGGTCCTCCTGAATCCAGAGCCGATACTCTATCTACTGTGTCACCTAGCTGCCCCTCGTACTCTATTTTTTTTTAATTAAATTTTGTCTTTTTTCCAATTAACACTGATTTACTTTCCCTCCCTCAAATCTTCAAACCTCTTCTGGGGAAAAGAAAGAGGAAAATCAGGACCCTTGTAACAAATATGTGGAGTTAAGCAACACAAATTCTCACATTCACCAAGACAAAAACTAGTTTCATTCTGCCTATTTATTATATCACCTCTGTCAGGAGGTGGGCAGCAGTTTTTTCATCATTATTCCTCTGAAATCACTGTTGGTCAATGCACTGACCAGAGTTCTTAAATTGTTCCTTTTAACAATGTTATTGTTCTAATATAAAACATTCTTTTGGTTCTGCTCTTTTGAATATGTCTGTGAATAGTGAATAAGACTTTTCTTAGAGCTTTAAATTTTAAGAGACTATATGCTCTTGCTCATTAAACTAGCCACATATGATACAAATATAGTCAACCTTTAGGTTGAGAGATTATTATTTCTCTTTTGCATTTATAACTAATTATTGAATAAGGACCAATGATTTTTTTCCCCTTTTCTACTTCCTCATCCAGAAATCACCAGTATGGGAAATCTTTCTCAAAAAGAGTAAAAGAAATTCTAAGTTTAGCCTAATGGATGAATTCCTGCTCACTGTATTTACTCAGACACGTCTGGGAAAATGTTGATTCTCCCTTCTATCAGACAGGTGATATGGAAATTGTTAAGTCTCACTGACCAAGACTTGGGTGATCCAAGTCATGTACCTCAAGACCCTCATTAGAAGGCCCCTCACTACAATAATCATTCTCTCAATAACTGTTAACCAATCAAAGTTAACTGCCACCCTTAGGAACACCCATTTTTTTGTGTGTGTGTCTTTTTTGGTGAGACAATTGAGGTTAAGTGACTTGCCCAAGGTTACACAGCTAGTAAATGTCATGTGTCTGAGGCTAAATTTGAACTCAGGTCCTCCTGACTCCAAGGCTGGAGATCTATTCACTGCGCCACCTAGCTGCCCCAAAAGTCTTTTTTTTTTTAAGTCACATAGCTAGGAAGTAGAACGTATTATGTGTCTGAGGCCTCATTTGAAATCAGGTCCTTCTGACTCCAGGGTCAGTGCTCTATCCACTGCGCCACCTAGCTGCTCCAAGAACATTCATTCTTCCAAGGTTATATAAACTTTGAGCCCACCACCATGAGGGGTCTTAGGCATTCAAGAGTGCCAATGACCTTTTTTCACTAATAAATATGCTAACCTTATTAATAAAATGATTAAATTACCCAGAAATTATCTCTGGAATTTTTTAAACATCACAGTTAAAATATGAGGTGGAAAGGAAATAAAGTAATTAGCCTACCTGTTCAGATTTTTCATCAGAGCTGCTAGGTGCCTCAGATGTATCTTTTACAAAGTAATTATCAACAAGATCTATCTGTCTGCATTCCTGGCGGCATATTGGGCATCGTATTACTCCAACTGCAAAAGATAATGAAAGGATTACATTAAATATGCCTTAACAGATAATCATGTAGGTTATTATTATGTTAACAGAAACCCAAAATAATTCCAACATACACATTCCTTTATCTAAAGAGTTAAGGAAATAAGGCATTATTGAAACAGAGTGGTTGGTTATATCACAATTTGTCACAGAATGTTACTTGGTGGAAATTACAGAAAGCTCAATATGAAAAGCCAAAATGAATGTTCTTTCCAAAATTGAACTAAAAATACTTAAGTGATTAAGAAAACTATTACCATCTTTCCTCTTGTTCTGCCACTCTAGGGTACTATTATTAGAAGTAGATAAGGGTATTATATTCTGGGAAGATGGCAGAACAGGTCAGAAATTTCCAGGCTCTCCAGATTTCCTCCACAATAAGACAGAAAACCACCACAAAATGAAGGTAGAGCAGCAAAAATAAAGGAGTAAAGCAGTTGTCCTAAGATAAGTTGAGAGGACCTCAGGAAAGACTTTAAACACCTCCAGGTTGACTCCACTGTATCAACAATGAGCAGGCCCTGGAAAGCAGCTCCTTGGAAAGCAGGCTACGACTCAAGAAATTTCAACTTAACTTCTACCTCACTCACAGCAACAAGAATTTTTACCTCACAAACTTACATCTAACGAATAGCAGACTGTTGAGGGGGGACAGACTGAAGGACATCTCTACTCTCTACCTCCTGCCCGCCAGCCATCTCCAGTTTCTGACCACCAAACCTAGCAGTGCTGACCAGACTTGTTGCAGACTGCTGTAGGCAAGGAGGAGGGAGCTCATACCCAGTCAATGTGGTACTGCAGGGAGAAAGAACATTTTCAGGACAGCATGGTCAGAGGCCCTAACTGAGGCTTGGGCGAGGGAGGAGAGGAGTGCCTGAGGTAGGGCCTCTGGACAGAATTCAGAAAATAAGAAGTAAGAAGGACTTGAGACCTGGGCAACATTACCCGCAACTCAGGATTAAAACCTGATTATATTAAGCTTTTAAAAACAAAACAAAATTTAAAAAGTAAGCAAAAGAAGAAACAGAATTTGACCATAGATAGCGAATATGGTGTAAAAGAAGATCTGGGTTTACATTCAGAGGAAGACAGTGAGGTAAAAAAAGGCCACTCCTACCCCAAAGACTAATATGAAATGGTTACAAGGCCAAAAAGAGTTCCTGAAATAACTTAAAAAGGAATTTAAAAATCAAATAAAAGAGACTGAGGAAAAACCATGAAAAAAATAAAAGCAATCCAAAAAAATTATGAAAATAACGTTAACCAATTGGAAAAGGAAGTCCAAAATCTTAAGGAAGACAATAACTCCTTGAAAACTAGAATCAGGCAAGAGGAACTGAATGATATTTTAAGACACCAAGAAATAATAAAACTAGAAAAAATAGAAGAGAATCTGAAACACCTCATTAGAAAAACAATTAATCCGTAGAACAGATCAAGGAGAGACAATATAAGAACTGTTGGGCTACCTGAAAGTTATAATTTAAAAAAAAGCATCTGGATATAACAGTACAAGCCCTGAAGTTTTAGAACAAGAGGGTAAAGTAGAAAAAAGAAAAAAGTCGACCGTTCACCACCTGAAAGAGATGCAGGAAAACTTACAAGAATATCACAGCCAAGTTTAAAAACTCCCAGGTAAAAAGAATACTGCAAGCAACAAAAAAATTTACATACTGCTGAGATACAGTCAGGATTTCACAAGGCCTATCAGCTTCTACACTAAAAAACTATGGAATATTATATTTTGAAGAGCAGAAGAGCTGGCGTTGTGACCAAAAATAACTTACTCAGCAAAACTGAGTATGATCTTGAATAAAAAAAGAGGACATTTGATGAACTGAAAGACTTTTAGGCATTTGTGACAAAAAGACCAGGACTCAATGGAAAATTCAATATAAAAGACCCAGAAGAAATATAAGGAAAACATTAAAGATTAATTATAAGGGCTCATTAAGGTCAAACTGCTTAATTATTACATATGAAAATGTTATCCATATTCTTAAGACTGACATCATTATGAGGTTGGTACTGAATTGTGTAAGATGGGATCATTCTAAAAAAAAAATTAGATAGGAAATGGTAAAAAGGAGCAATTATCTCAAAAAATGGGCCATGAAAGGAAAAACTGATACAGAATTAGCAGGTTAAGGTGGAGGACTGATAATGTTTGAACCTCTCATCTATGTTGAAGAGGAAACAATGTGTACCTCTGGAGTGCTCTAGAAGTCTGGAGAGATGAGAGAATGGGAGACAGGGTAGGAAGAAGACTTTTAGAAGGGTGTATAGATTAAGATACAGGAGACTGGAGGGGTAGGGTAGGAGAAGGGACTTTTAGAGGGGTGGGTAGAATAAGAAACAGGAAAGTAAAGGGAGAAGACAAGGTAACAGGTTTTGGGTAAAAAGAGAGGCTAAAAAAGGATAACAGTGAATTAAAATAAGATGGAGGGAAATTCACAAATAGCAATTATAACTTTGAATGTGAATGGGATGAATTCACTCATAAAACAGAAACAGACAGCGAAATGGATTAAAAAAATCAAAATCCAATGATATGTTGTTTACAAGAAACACATTCAAGAATACAGAGATACACACAGCTAAAATGAAGGGTTGGAGTAAAATTTATTACACTTCAGCTGATGAAAAAAGGCAGGGTAAGAATTTTGGTCTTAGACAAAGCTGTGGCTAAAATAAGATTTAATTAAAAGAGATTAAATATGGTAACTTGTAGTCACCATAAACAATGAAGCAATATCAATATTGAACCTATATGTACCAAATACTATAGTATCTAAATTTTAAAAATAATATCATTTTACACCTTTCAGACTGGCTTATATGACTGAAGGATAAAGCAGTAAATTTTAGAGGGGATGTGGGAAAATTGGGACACTAATATATTGTCAATGGAACTGTGAGCTGATTCAACCATTTTAGAGAGCACTATGGAATTATGCCCAAAGAGTTATTAAATTGCCTATACCCTTGGACTCAACAATACCACTACTAGGTCTATTTCCAAAGATGATTAGAGAAAAAGGAAAAGAATCTACGTTCTAAATGTTTATAGCAGCTCTCTTTGTGGTGGCCAAGAAGTGGAAATTGCAGGAATGTACAACAACTGAGGAATGACTAAAGAAGCTGTGGTACATGATTGTGATGGAATACTACTACACTATAAGAAATGATGAGCTCAATGACTTTAGAAAAGCATGGATAGATCTGCCCAAAATAATGAAGAGTAAAATGAACAGAACCAAGAGAATGTAGTATACGGTAACAGCAATATTGTTTTAAGAACAATTTTGAGCAAACAGGTCATTTTGACTATCATAAATACCAAAACTAACTACAAAGGACATATGAAGGAAAATATTATCTGCATCCAAGGCAAAGAAATGAAAAACAAAGGCATACATAGAATTTTATACACACACACACACACACACACACACACACACACACACACACACACACACATTTGTGCCTAATGACAGCCATCTCTTGATTGGGAGGGGAAGAGAAAAAAAGTGAAAAAAGAAATTTACATAATAACTATTATATAGTTAAAAAGAATATCAAGCTGTATATAATAGATTTGCAGTTTCAAGTACTATCATTCTTTTTATTATACTATATTGTGGAAATTTATTCCATAAATTAAAAATAAAATTTTAAGTACAAAAGGGCGGTGATTCAGATCTACAAAATAGCACTATCTTCAACCACCATCTACATTATGATTGGATTCCCTCTCACTATACCAAAGAGATTTTATTACATACACATACACACATATATATGTGTGTATGTGTATGTATATATGAATATCTATGTGTTTCTATCTATATCTGTATCACCACTTTTGTTACAAGAAGTTACACTAGGAAACCGGAAATCACACTATGGTAAGGTAACCAGGCCAGGAAAACTGAGGGCATGATGGCAACACCTGCAGTACTTTAGATGTAGTAGCTAGTCAGCACATCAGTTAAAACAGGAAGCTACCAGAAGGTTTTTCATTCCTAAGTATTCCCTTTTGCCCTAGCACTGAATTAAGCCTTAAAAGACTATTGGTGGACACTGGTCAACTTATTTGCCCCAGGCCTAAAATTAGCAACTATGGAATAGCTAGAACTTGGAACCATGGCCCTTACAAAAAGACTACGAAATGTACAAAACTAAATTATGATGTTATTTGTTCATGTTTTACTACCTTGATGTTTTAGTCTAATTCATATCTAATTATTAATTTTATATCCATTTTTCAAAAGACATATTACTTGGCTTAAATTTAGTTCCATGTTTACATAGCAAACATAACATTACATTACATTTCATTTCATTTCATTAGAGTAAGAGTATAATTAAGTGTTCTAAATCCTTTAAGAAATTTCACATCAAGATTTTTTCATTACCTTTCAAACATTAAAATGGAATGATCTTATTTTCCTCTGACACTGTTACCAATCTGGTACAGGCCCTCACCACCTCACAAATGGAATATTTCAATAGCCTTGCTGGTTGGTTTCCCTGCTTCAAGCCTCTAAACACACACACACACACACACACACACACACACACACACACACACACACACACACTCTCTCTCTCTCTCTCTCTCTCTCTCTCTCTCTCTCTCTCTCTCTCTCTCTCTCTCTCTCTCTCTCCCCCTCCCTCCCTCCCTCCCTCCCTCCAAAATACTACAGCAAACATAGAATCTTTTTAAGCCTCCATTTGGCTTTTAAAAATTATCTGGTCCCTTCCTCCCTTTCCAAACATTTTAGGATTCAGCGACACTGGGCTCTCTTTGATGTGCCCTGCACAAAACAGTCCATTTCCGGACTCTGCATGTATGGAATGCTGTTTTTTCATCTGTCTCCTGATTTCCCTGAGTTCCTTCAAGTTTCAGCTAAAATCTTGCCTTCTTCAAGAAGCTTAGCACAGTGCCTGGCACATAGGAGGTACTTAATAT